AAAGGGTTTTAGTCCCCCATATGTGGCTTTGTGTTAAAGGGTTTTAGTCCCCCATATGTAGCTTTGTGTTAAAGGGTTTTAGTCCCCCATATGTGGCTTTGTGTTAAAGGGTTTTAGTCCCCCATATGTAGCTTTGTGTTAAAGGGTTTTAGTCCCCCATATGTCTGCTCCTCCATCGAGAACGGAGGGAAGGAAGGGTAGACCATCAGCCGAAATCATCATGTTGCACCTACAGTTGTTTGGAATGTTTCTACAAACGGTAGTAATTGTTATTATACGTTAAAAATTGGTAAAAAGCAAGTAGATTAATTTGTGGAAACGCGCGAAATACATGGAAATATCTCTCGTTTAAAACTACATTAATGACATGCGACTGTTAAATGTAATATAACACGTTGTTTATTTTTTGTGTTCTAATTAGAGCCAGGAGTCGTAGTATTCCTGTTTCTGGCTCAAAGAGTGAACAAAAAAGCAAACGTATTTATTTAAGCGATATTTAGACATAGCATGTAATACTGTCTGTATTGTTTGTAAAAGTTAATGTAGCTAGTTTTCAATCTAACTTGGTATTTACTACTGATGATGAGGCTAGAATTCACGTGTCTTCATTGTTGAGTTGCACTTTAGTGTAATATGGGATGTATAGATCAAAGAAGGAATGTTCTTGGCTCAATAACATTCAAACTTGTATCAGAAAGGTGAAAGAGATCCGAAAGGGTTATAAAGTAAAAGACCCCGTGAATATATATATAACCAACGTCCTTCATAACTTGGAATTGGTACGTTTCACATCTCCCTTTCATCCCTTCAGAGCCGCTCCCAAGCGGCAAGTCTAAAAACCGTGTTTTGATACACACAGTAAAGATAGCCCATTGTATAGCTTTGTGCTTAACTGAAAACACATTTCTCAAAGCCATCTGGTGTTTAAAGAAGAAAATAAACTTCATACGTGGAGTATCATGGTTAGGGTAGCCACCTATCGGCAGTTACATTAATATGTTTAGCTATGAAATAATTGAGCTTGATAAAACTTATATAATATAAATTAACTACCCGCCTCCAAGACGATTTAAATATTTAGAAAAATTCATAGCCATGAAAAAAATCAAAAATTATAATAATAGTCACTAAACTAGACAACAATAAAACCTTAAAAGTTTACATTTTTAACCAAGCTGGACATTTTGTTTTATAAAAGTTGTTTACAAAACAGATAAATTGTTGACTTTTAAACGTTTGTTTGTTTGTTGTTAAGCCCAAAGCCGCACAGTGGGCTACCGAATCAGAAGTATATCCTTTTGAAAGAATCCTTAGATAAATATTTTTTAAAGTTTGTTATTAGTTATGAACCTACAAAGAACATTACTAAAATTACACATTGTGTTACATATTACACAATGAACTACGTGAAAAGGAAACTTAGTCACTGAACATGAGTGCAGAGTATGTCAAAGAAGTACTCGTCTTGTCATAGGTAGCCATAGATTAAAAGAAGTACTCGTCTTGTCATAGGTAGCCATAGATTAAAAGAAATACTCGTCTTGTCATAGGTTAAAGAAATACTCATCTTGTCATAGGTAGTCATAGATTAAAAGAAGTACTCGTCTTGTCATAGGTAGCCATAGATTAAAAGAAGTACTCGTCTTGTCATAGGTAGCCATAGATTAAAAGAAATACTCGTCTTGTCATAGGTAGTCATAGATTAAAAGAAATACTCGTCTTGTCATAGGTAGTCATAGATTAAAAGAAGTACTCGTCTTGTCATAGGTAGTCATAGATTAAAAGAAGTACTCGTCTTGTCATAGGTAGTCATAGATTAAAAGAAGTACTCGTCTTGTCATAGGTAGCCATAGATTAAAAGAAGTACTCGTCTTGTCATAGGTAGCCATAGATTAAAAGAAGTACTCGTCTTGTCATAGGTAGCCATAGATTAAATTAATATATTCTCTGTTCATTCAACTGTATTGGTGTTATTCTCTGTCTCATTACTGTCAATACGGAACCGTACCAGACAAGACAACGTTCATTCAACTGTATTGGTGTTATTCTCTGTCTCATTACTGTCAATACGGAACCGTACCAGACAAGACAACGTTCATTCAACTGTATTGGTGTTATTCTCTGTCTCATTACTGTCAATACGGAACCGTACCAGACAAGACAACGTTCATTGTACTGTATTGGTGTTATTCTCTGTCCACTATTGTCGATACGGAACCGTACCAGACAAGACAACGTTCATTCTACATAGCTAGCTGTGAAACGTGATTGGATGTTTTGTAAATTACTGATATAAATAGCTGACTTGATAAGCTCTGCTATTATTGGACTTAAGGTCTCGTCAGCAGCCAAGTGCATGATTGAGGACTAGTGTTAACTTTCATGGTAATATATTGCGTATACGTCATTCCATGATTAAGGAGTAGTGTTAACTTTCGTGGTAATATATTGCGTATACGTCATTCCATGACTGAGGAGTAGTGTCAACTTTGATGGTAATATATTGCGTATACGTCATTCCATGATTGAGTAGTAGTGTTAACTTTCGTGGTAATATATTGCGTATACGTCATTCCATGACTGAGTAGTAGTGTCAACTTTCATGGTAATATATTGCGTATACGTCATTCCATGATTGAGGAGTAGTGTCAACTTTCATGGTAATAAATTGCGTATACGTCATTCCATGACTGAGTAGTAGTGTCAACTTTCATGGTAATATATTGCGTATACGTCATTCCATGATTGAGGAGTAGTGTTAACTTTCATGGTAATATATTGCGTATACATTATTCCATAATTATTATTATTCGTATCTTATTTCCAGTAATTATTATACACTACGTTCATACAAAAGTTTAGGCTTAAGTGTAATGGGCGTAATTGTGTTTTACTTTCCAATTACGACATGAATGTTTTTAATTTTCAGGGTATTTAAAAAAAAAAAATCCTTTTTCATGTTTTTCTGTCGCAAAGATGCGCCCGATATAAGCTTTTCATAAAACGAATGTTTTCAACATAAAATCAACGATAGATCCTAACATACTGTCGTTTTGTTTTCCTTAATGAAGGTAAGTCGTTACGACGACAGTTGATAGACCCAGAGAAGCGACGGACGTTTCTAACCCATGGATCTTTTGATGGATTCGATCATCATCGAGCTTTAATCCATCGAAACGACTCCAAACAGGTAAGGATAGTTATTATGTTGATCAGTAGGTGATCCATTACTGGATTGCTTTTGCAGAATGGATCACCTACTAAATCCATTTTTACAATTGCTCATCACAGGGTGGTAGGGGCCATTATTGCTTTGTTAACCATGGTGGGTTATATTTCTACGTTTTTCTTTTTGTTTTTTTTTTACATTAAAAAAAAATATATTCCTACGGGTTTTCTTTAGATTTAAGTACTGTATTCCTGCGGGTTTTCTTTAGATTTAAGTACTGTATTCCTGCGGGTTTTCTTTAGATTTAAGTACTGTATTCCTGCGGGTTTTCTTTAGATTTAAGTACTGTATTCCTGCGGGTTTTCTTTAGATTTAAGTACTGTATTCCTGCGGGTTTTCTTTAGATTTAAGTACTGTATTCCTGCGGGTTTTCTTTAGATTTAAAGACCATATTTCAACTTTACAATCATCATATGCAGTCTATAATTTATTTGCCCTTGCTGTCAGTAAGACTAAATTTGGTCTACTAAAATAAACTGTTAACGAGAACTAAAGATTTCCCCCATTCACTGTACATGAACATGCCCGAAAGATAAGGGGGGGGCGTTGTTGTTCCCCAGGAAGAGGTATTAGTCCTATCCTCTTCATCGGGTATGCAAGCAACATGGCCTGAAGGTGTTTAAAGCCCATTGATGTATACATTACTGGTTTTGGACTGTAGGACAAACTAAGGACCTCAAACGTTGATGACGTAACACAAAACAATTCACTTCCAATTAATTATGCAAATTATTTCATTAGTATGCGCATATTAATGAGCTCAGATACATATTATCTAAGAACACAGTATCTTGAAAACTAATAACACTAGCCAACTAAGTTATACATTAACTTAAAGCTTAAGAAGAGAGGAAAAGCACGAACCTAACTTCACTATCACAGAAAAGAAAAACATTATTTTTAACACTACAAATCAGCCCTCTTGTTACAGACTTTTTATTGTTAGGGTGCAACTTTTTACAACCCATGTTTTAGTTTCTTCCCTGCCTCTGAAGTGGCACGTGGCTCAGTTCTGCTACATTTAGCCAATAGCCGATCAAGGTGCTGGTTCCCATGGAAACTTCGTTTTCTTCTTCTGACATTCTTCTTATTTGCCATTGAAATTTCTTCAGTGAAAGGAACATTCATCCAACTCTTTAAACTTTTGGGCAGTAAATAAAACCTTGCAGTGAGGAATTTAACTTGTAAAAAAAACAAAGAAGTGGATGTAGTAGCCAGAGAAGTATCACATGGAGTTGAACACTGTGGAGTGGACGTAGTAGCCAGAGAAGTATCACATGGAGTTGAATACTGTGGAGTGGACGTAGTAACCAGACATGTATCACATGGAGTACTACGTCCACTCCATGTGATACTTGTCTGGTTACTACGTCCACTCCATGTGATACTTGTCTGGTTACTACGTCCACTCCATGTGATACTTGTCTGGTTACTACGTCCACTCCATGTGATACTTGTCTGGTTACTACGTCCACTCCACAGTGTTCTTACTACGTCCACTCCACAGTGTTTAACTCCATGTGATACTTGTCTGGTTACTACGTCCACTCCACAGTGTTTAACTCCATGTGATACTTGTCTGGTTACTACGTCCACTCCACAGTGTTCAACTCCATGTGATACTTGTCTGGTTCCAGACAAGTATCACATGGAGTTAAACACTGTAGAGTGGACGTAGTAACCAGAGAAGTATCACATAGAGTTGAACACTGTGGAGTGGACGTAGTAGCCAGAGAAATATCACATGGAGTTGAACACTGTTAACTTGAAGCTTCAGTTAACAAACAGTTTCAGTATTGTTGTAGTCTTTCAGTGTTAAGTTCGTGCTTTTCCTCTCTTATTAAGCTTTAAGTTAATGTATAACTTAGTTGGTTAGTGTTATTAGGTTTCAAGATATTGTGTTTTTAGATAACTTACATAATTAATTAGAAGTGAATTTTTTGTGTTACGTTTGAGGTCCTTAGTTTGTCCTAGAGTCCACAACTAGTAATGCATACATCAATGGACTATAAACAACTTAACAGATCAAAAGTTTGAGGTCCTTAGTTTGTCCTAGAGTCCACAACTAGTTATGCATACATTAATGGACTATAAACAACTTAAAAGATCAAAAGTTTGAGGTCCTTAGTTTGTCCTAGAGTCTACAAATAGTAATGCATACATCAATGGACTATAAACAACTTAACAGATCAAAAGTTTGAGGTCCTTAGTTTGTCCTAGAGTCCACAACTAGTAATGCATACATCAATGGACTATAAACAACTTAACAGATCAAAAGTTTGAGGTCCTTAGTTTGTCCTAGAGTCCACAACTAGTAATGCATACATCAATGGACTATAAACAACTTAACAGATCAAAAGTTTGAGGTCCATAGTTTGTCCTAGAGTCCACAACTAGTAATACATACATCAATGGACTATAAACAACTTAACAGATCAAAAGTTTGAGGTCCATAGTTTGTCCTAGAGTCCACAACTAGTAATGCATACATCAATGGACTATAAGCAACTTAACAGATCCAAATTATAGTCTTACTTCTCAATTCGCAGACGATGTGGAAATATGGAAGAGTTCCACGACCCCCTCCGCCACAAACCTACAACCAGTACGAAACCAAACAGTTGAATACTGTCAAAAACAGAATTAAAATAAATGTTCCAAAAACCAATCTGGTACTATTCTCGAAATCTATTAAAACCCGTAGACACCCCACACGAATTATCTGGTACTATTCTCGAAATCTATTAAAACCCGTAGACACCCCACACGAATTATCTGGTACTATTCTCGAAATCTATTCCTGCCACACACACACACACACACACACATGGGGGAAATATGTTTGGTTTTTTACTCTTCGTTTCAACCTAGTAGAAATTAATTTGCATAGTTGTATACAAACGGAGAGAGAAATTAAATTTAACGTCCTCAGTTGAATTATCCAGGTTGGTTAACTTCGTCAATTGAATAACCTAGGTTGGTTAACTTCCAACTCCTTATGGTATTAACTGCGGTAATTCTGATTCTCAAATCTCGACTTCAGGCCTAATACTGATTCTCAGAAATGCAGTTCCACAATCGAGACTTTGAAAATATGAATTACGCCAGTCACGTTAAAAGAAAGAGCCAATGGGCACAACTGTAGTCGTTACTCTCAGAATATGAATTACGGGACTGTGATGTTTACAAAAATAACGGTTTTCTGACAAAACAAGTAATTCTGCTAAACATTAAAAGATTGAAGGTACGGTTCCCAGTTGCTTAACGACGCGCATGAAGGCTTGTAACGCTAAAAACCAGGTTATGCTGAACAACAAAACGAAACAAAGCCACACCTAAAAGACATTTATGTTATAATTACTAGCAGAAAAGTTGCTAACATTCTACAACAATAATTACAATTAATAATAAACAAACTAATTATGATTAACAGACAAAACAGCAAAAGCTTCTGAGATCACTCGAGTGCTGGTTCCGTCATTAAGTAATCTTGTTTGTCTTGCAGTGTTTCCCTGAAATGGCTGATGTGTTCAGTGAGGTACATTTCTATCACATGAAGAAGCGGTTCCCAAATCTAAATACTAAACCCGCTAAACCCTTGCGGTCAAATTAGTATCTTTATTACAACAGTAGTTCTTTAAATATAGGATTTCTAGAATAATACAAAATAATTCTAATCATAGACTGAAATCTAAGTCCACTTGTCTTAAGCCTAACATTAATTAAGCTTTTATTAAGTACGGCCTATATTTGGTAAAGAAATATATTAACACTAACTTGTGTATATTGTTTGCTTTAGTTTGGTTAGGACTAAACTTTATCGTAGTTTACGCTATCATTAAATAAACTTAATGTTATTCTACGACCTAATGTTAAACCTTTTTAAAAGCTTTGATAAGCTTTTAATATGTTGCTGTACAAAACGTCGACTAAAGTGTATTTGCATAAGCCTTTTGTTTACATTCGTTTAAATTAAGTGCGCGCGCGCATGCGCAATTAGATAAAATGAATGTGCAACTTACTAAGGACAGACAAAAACGGAGTATTATTATAATAGTTTACAGGGTGTTACGTATTAGAATTTTAAATGGACTGAAATTGAGTTAAATGATAAACTTAAATTTAGTACTTTAGATTTATTATTTAAATAAATGCCGATATATAGTCAGTTTATGAAGTTTGCCAACATGATTGATACACAGTTTTCTCTTTTAACACAAATAAGTGTTAATATACACACAACAGTACAATTTACAATAACAATTATTACATATAGTTATTACAAACAATGATTTATAAACAAAAGTTTCACAAACTTACAAGCATTATAAAGTCTTCTGTCTAGTTTAGAACTTCCTTGATATCTTATCGAGGGTTCACGATGAGCGAATTGATTACTAGTTGATGTAGGTACAATTTACTTCGCAAGGAGCTAGCTAGCCCTGTAGTTCTCGTTGATTACAGTTCGAGTTTCACCGATGACGTTAAGTAATGTTTTCGTAAAAATACTAATGTCTAACGAGAATCCACTGAAGTGAAACGATTTGTAATGTTCG